TCTAAGAGCATGCACCTATCTAGCCTATTATAACATATGCAAATATGTTTGACACACCCCCTAGGCCAGATGAGGGGCAGTGCCTCGAAATCGACACACAGCTTAGGGTGGCACTACTAGTCCAGCCTTTCAGGCAAGGGTCAGAGGACCAGTCAGCAAGAGTACAAGCTAAACAAGAGTAACCCACGGGGGTACTACTAGTCCAGCCACTAGGACAGGAGCCCCAAGGCCAGTCAAGATACTGTAATACAAAAAGAGTACACAATCAGGGGCCTAGCAAGTGAGAAGCTAGAGGAACCAAACCAAGCAGAACACAGTGCCGCTGATGATCTTTAGGCACAACTGTGTTGGCACAAGAGGCTAAGTGTACTACGCGGGCCTAGCAGCGCTGCTGCAGCTCGCGCAGGAGGACAAAGATTCCCTCCCTATAGGAACCCCAACTTTGACATTTGTCCCTTCCCAACCAATCCAACCAAGTTGGCCACCCTTGCCAACCTAGCTTGGTGGTTCCCAACCAATTTGCAGCTGTTACAGTAGAGTGACAAATTTCCCCAACCCCAAAGGTCCCAACTCCATATAAAGTCACCCCACAACTTCACTTTGTAACCGCCGCAATTGTAACGCAAGCTCATGAACTTTGAATCTTCATAGCTTTCGCGTTCTTGCTCCGATTGAAGGGATTCTCGTTGCGTCGGAAAGATCTTCTCAAGATCTATCACAAAATACCTGCTCAAAAAAATAACACAAAACACATTCCCAAACTCCAGAACACACACCACACAAATTCTTTCACACAGAGTCAAACCATACATGCGAATTGAAACAAGGGATGGGAGGCAGACATAATGTGATAGCATATGATGACATCACACAACAGCAACAGACGACGAGCTGGTGGACCTCCACGAGACGGTGCCTGCACCAAGGCTAAAGCACTAGCCCTGAGAGGACCTGAGGGTCTCAGCGTCGTCTGCCTAAGAAGCATTTGTGTGCCCAATAAGGACCACTGGTCTGCGTCCTCCCAGTACTAGCTCCATGCCCGATGTACTTGCTAGATAACGCAAAACCCTCTTAGCGGCCGACCAGTGCTGTGGTCAGTGTCTGCCTGTGGCCACAAAGCGAGCCAGGATGCTGAGAGAGTATGCGAGATCTGGACAAGTGGAATTCATCAGGTATATGAGGCAATCCACCAGCTCTGCGTAAGGAGAGCTGGGCTCTACTAACTCCTCAGGAACAGGAGTTGAGAGCATGTGGTCTACTGGCAGAGGTGTAGGCTATGCGGAGGAGAACTGAAGACTGAACCTCTAAAGGACCTGGCGCACCAAGTGTGACTGGGTGAGAGTGATGGTGCGCGCTGCTCTGTCCCTGGAGATTTGTAGACCAAGGTAGCGGTGCAGCTCTCCTAGATCAGTGCAAGTGTGTCTCCTCAGCAGCTCAGCCTTCACAGAGGCCAGTGCATCTCTATCTGCTGTAGCGAAGACCAGGTCCTCTACATAAACAAGGATGTAGAACGGAGTCTAGCCAGCACGAACGAAGAGCAAGGGGTCTGCAGAGGATGGAAAGAGCTGCAGGTCAGCTAGCGTAGCACGCATCGTGCCGTGCCACTCACGGGGCGCCTGTCGAAAGCCGTAGACCGGGCGCCGGAGGAGCCACTGGGTCCTAGGAGGGAAGGTACCGGTGAAGCCCTGTGGATGGCGCAAGTAGACCTGCTCGTGTAGGCTGCCCTGAAGGAAAGCAGAGGAGAAGTCAAGGAAGTGGAGCTCATAGTCATGGTGTGCTACTACGTGTAGCAGCGCCCGAATAGTAGCCATCTTCGTGGTCGAGGCGAAGGTCTGAAAGAAGTCCACCCCCTCGCGCTGACTGAAGCCTCTAGCCACGTAGCGCGCCTTGAACACAGGCGGCTCTCCAGGAGGGCGCTTCACCTTGAAGAGCCACCGGCCATCGACTACATTCACCCCAAGTGGGGGAACTGCTTCGACGTAGGTGCCGATGGATCTCGAAGATGCCATCTCATGCTCCATGGCAGCTATCCACTGAGAGGCCCTGGGTCTTGAGGTCGCCTCAGTTTAAGTGCGAGGGGTTGGGATGTCAAGAGCATCTTAGTCACCCTTAGAGACTAGTAGCATGGAACACAGATGGGGAGCAGCCTCGTACAGGAATGCAAGCTCGTACTGCCTGTCCTCTAGGACGTCACTGCCAAGGGCAGGAGCACCCCCGACGGACGGAGGGCAGGCAGGGCCAGAGACCAGAGTTGTGACGTAGTCAAGGCAGCGGGTAGAGGCGAAGTCAGAGACTGCAGCGACAAGAGCGTCAAGATTCGAGACAGGAACAGACGGGTCGGTAACGAGGGAGGCAAGGACCAGAGGAAGAAGAGGACGAGCCGCACAAAGGTATTCAGACAAAGGGGGAGGTGCGACAACAAGCGATGACGAAGGGGGCGAATGCAGGAGGGGAGGACGAGACGCGTGGGAACGAAGCAACATGGGGTGAGAATGCTGAACAAGAGAGACAAGTCGAGTACTAGAGGGACGGCGAGACTAGACGTGAGACGGAGGTGTCTAGTCAGGAGACAGAGGAGGAGACACAAGAGATTAACGAGGTGGGAAACGGGCCGGGAACAAGTCAGGCGGAGGAAACACAGGATCGTGGATAAGAAGGGGAGGAGGCGGCGGAGGAGGTGCAGGCAAGCGGTCACGGGAGGGAAGTCCGAGTAGGCGAAGGGCGGACACCGGCGGCGACTGCTGCCGCTCGACGCCGACACCTGGACCGCCTGCGGCACCATGGCTACCTTTGGAACACTCCACTCCAGCACCCCCAGAACGAGCGCCCCCAGAGCGAGAATCTTCTCCAGCACCGGTGCTACCCCCGATCCCGCGGGGACAAGCCACGACAGGAACCCCATGACTAGCACCCTCCTCAATGCCAGCACCCCAAGAGTCCACGAACTGCTACTACTACTGTGACGACGGCTGCTGTTGCGACGGCTGCTGCTGCGGCTGCGATGACGGCTGTGGCGGCGAATGCGACGGCAGGGGAGGGGACACCGAGGGAGAGGCAAGCGGCGAGAACTGCGCCGCTGGGCCACCACAGTCAACCGACTCCTCGACCGGGACAACCGACGGGAGGGGAGTGACGTGAGACACTCCAGACAAAGCAGGACAGGGAGGGAGGGGAGCAGGGGCTACCGGGGGAGTGGGAACTAGAAACAGGGGAGGGGAAACTGAGAGACCTCGGTGGGGAAAGAGACTGTAAAAGGAGTCAGACTCGTCGAAAGTGATGTCACGTGAGTGAAGGAAGCAGTGAGACAGCGGGTGGTAAAAGTGCCAGTCAAACGAGTTAAGGGGGAAACCAAGGAAGACACAGGGGACAGTGCAGACAGTGAGCTTGTCTGTGCCAGAGGCACGAACGTGTGCGAGGCATCCCCAGATGTGGAACGCAGACGCGTCACCAGGAGACCCGGTCCAGAGGAGGGTCGGCGAAACCTGCGGCTGCTGGAAGTGGGGCCACAGGTTCAGCTGGTGAGCGGCGTAGCGAACAGCGAACGACCACAAAATATGGGGTGCACCGGCATGAATCATTGAGGTACAAGCCGACTGGAGGCAAACTCGCCGTCACGGTCGGAGTGGAGACACATCACGGGGAGACCTCGGTGGACTCGCGCAGCTACGACCCACGGGATAAGTTTGTCAGGCACGTCAGCCTTCCGCTTCAGAGGAAACACCGTGGTGTAGCGCGTGTAATCGTCTACAAGCACCAGAAGTAGCGCTCTCGACGCGGCCCAGAGACGGGGGCTGGGCCCCAGACGTCCAGGTGCAGGGTCTGGAGTGGCGCGGTGGCAGGGCGAAGCAAGAAGGAGTGAGGAGCACGGCGCAGCCGGCCCTCGACGCAGGGCATGCACGACGGCGCAGGCGAGGGAGGGAGGGAAGGGAGCGACGCAGGAGACATACAGTGGCATAAACAATTGTCCGTATGTTTTGCATTGATTCAAATTTTTAGGCTTTAACACCACTATACATTAAGCCTTAATGCTTAATGGTGGTACGATTTGAGAGGGGCACATAATGGATGTGTTAACAGCACAAAAATCCAGAATAGTACATTGGATCTAATGGATATCCCAGAAGACAAACAAAGGGTTTATCCTGACAAATTTTTCCAAGTAGAGAGAGCAAAATTCTGAACTGCGTTTGTGGTACATAGCCCATCGACCTTTGGCCTTGATCACCACCTGCAACCTCCTACGCATGTTGCCTACGAGGTTAGTACAAACCTCGGCAAGGAACTTCTTGCACTCTTCCAGGACCCACCATTTTGCATAGTGGATGTGTTCATAGCGAAAATATCCAGAATAGTACATTGGATCTAACTTATATCCCAAAATATATACAAAAAATACATCCTGACAAATAGTTCCAAGTAGAGAAAGTAAACCTCAAAAGTGTGTTGCTAGGTCCTAGTCCACCGACCTTTGGCCTTGATCGTCGCCCGCACCCTCCTAGGCGAGCTGTCGATGAGGCTAGAGCGAACCTCGGCATGGATCTTCTCCACTTCTTCTTGGACCAGGTCTCAAAGCTCTAGCATTCCAGAGGAAGGCCTTTTATTTTGGCTAGCTCCCTTTTCAGGTAAGCCCAGAGGTTGAGGTTTGATGAGAAAGAAGGGCAATCCGAGGCTACACATTCATGTTGCACTATGCATAACAAATTCTTGGGGTCATTGTCCGCAACGAGATGACCTCAGAGAGGAAAATACAGTAGAAATGGAGGGTCAATTCGAGTTCGTCTTGCAAAATGTCCTCATACTGGGGCCCCGCTTGTAGGTGATGGTGTAGTGGAAGTTTGACTCGAGGAAATCGAGCCATCGGATCTGTCGCGGGTTGAGGTTCGGTTGGGCTCGCAGGTACTGGAGGGATTTGTGGTCGGTCCGCACAGTGAGGTCAGCACCTATCAGGTATCACCGTCAGGTCTTGAACGCGTGAATGATCGCCAACATTTCCTTGTTGTGTACTGTATAATTTTTCTCTGCACCCTATAACTTCCGTGATTCGTAGGCGAAATCCTGTAGTAGAACTACACCGATGGCGATGTCGCTGGCGTTGGAGATGACTTTGTATGGACGGTCAGGATTGGAGATGCGAAGGACGGGCGGCGACGTGAGGGCGATCTTCAGTTGGTCAAATGCAGCTCGTTGCTTCTCTCCCCACCAAAAACAATCATTATCCTTGAGGCGGTCAGTTAGCGGGGCAGATAACCCAGCCATATTGGGTATAAACTGGCGGAAGTAATTGACAAAACCCATAAAACTCTGCAGCTCCTTGATGTTGCTCGGCGGCTTCCACTCCTGGATGGTCTTGATTTTCTTGGGGTCGATTTTCACTTCTTCGGTAGAGATGATGTGGCCCAGAAATTCCAACTCCTGTTTAAGAAAGTCACACTTAGACCCTTTGGTGATGAGGCGATTCTTGTGCAGTAGCGTGAAGACTGCATCAAGATCCTTTAAGTACTGCTCCTTGTTGCGGCTGTAGATTACTATGTCGTCGAGGTAGATGATGATGCATTTGTCCAAGAGTCCCCGAAAAATTCCATTCATGATCATTTGGAAGGTCGAGGGCGCGTTCGTGAGGCCAAAAGGCATCACCTCGTAGCTGCCATAATGGGTTCGAAATGCCGTCTTGTGACAATCTTCGGCGGTGACGCGAATCTGATGGTAACCTCCTCATAAGTTGATTTTCGAGAAAAACTGGGCGCCGCGAAGTTGGTCGAGAAGTTCGTCGGCTCGCGGGATTGGGTAACGCGACTTGATGGTGATCCGGTTGAGCGTGCGGTAGTCGATACACATTCTGAATCCTCCATCCTTCTTCGGCGTGAATAGTATCGAGGCGGCGTATGGTGACGTGCTGTGCCGGATAAATCCTTTCGTCAGAAGGTAATCCAGCTGCTGCTGTAATTCTTCCAGTTCTGGTTGGCTGAGCCGAAATTAGCCCTATACCGTCGGCCGGGCGTCTGGTCCAGCTTGATTCGGTGGTCCTCAGGTCAGCTCAGCGGGAGTCCAGCTGGCAGGTCGTCCGGGAAAATCTCAGGGTATTTCCAAATCAGGTCCGCTAAGTCCGGAGGGACGGCCTTGCACAGCTTCTCGATATCTTCGGTCTCGACCGTCGATGTCACCTCGCGAAGATCAACGGCGTACGCTGCAGCTCTAGCTTTCATCGCGCGTTTGAAAGTGATCGCGTGGACTTGGGTACTTCGTATGCGAGGCCCCGTCCACTTGGGCAACTCGCGGGAAATCCCATCGAGGTTGATGCTGCAGCCGCCCGTCGTCCAGTCAATCTTCGGGTTGTACCGACGCAACCAATCATGTCCCAGCAGCACGTTGCACCCGTCGAGAGTAGTCGCCAGTAGTCCCATCCGAAATTTTACATGCTCCCCACAGGTAAAACTGACGTTCTCCACTCGTTCCCGTATTGCGAGCGGTGTTCCGTCCACCAGTCGGGCGTCGGTTTCAGGTAGAAACTTGAGTAAGGGTATACCCAATTTTTTAGCCCTGTCCAGTTGTATGAGACTATGACTCGCATCTCCATCAACGAATATCTTCAATAACACCCCGTTGACTTTACCCTCCACCAACACATGGTGATCAGCAATTTTGTCCCCCTTATTCGTCCAGGTCCGGTCGATTGCAGCAATCGGGATCACGACCCGGTGGGGACTGTGTGGTTCGGGCGAAGAAGCCAGCTCGTCAGTAAGGGGCCCGGTACTTACTGACGCGACCCATTTCCCGATCGCTCCTCCAGCTTCTTCCCCGGAGAATTCTGGAGGGCTATGAATTCTTGGCAGTTGCGTCGGATGTGACCCGGCCGGCCACAGTGGTAGCATAGCCCCGTATTTCGCGGAGCAACTGCGTAAATATCCACTCCCTCCACCCCTTTTATCGTGGCGCGCTGGTACTGTTCTCGAGGGCGACCTCTGTCATAGAAGTTCGTCCTCGGCTTCGTGATCGAATCAGCGGCTTCGGCGAGCTGGATGTAGTATTGTAACCGCTTCGCAGGGCGTTGCAGTTTTATCTGGTACTGTATTTCGGGCTTCAAACCGCCCATGTACCTGTCGACTTTCTCCAGCTCGTGCATGTAGCCACATCTGTCCACCAACGTCAAGAATGACGCGGTGTACTCGGACACAGATCCCAGCTGGTTCCACATGCGTAGAGTTTCGCGTGCCTTGTCTGAGTCAGAAGCATGCTCAAACCGCTTGCGAAGCTCTGCGCACCACGTTGCCCACGTGCGAATATGGGTCGTTCCGAACAATAGATCAGCCTCGTCTTCGTGTTGTCCTTCTGTGCGATTTGCCGCTGAGACGAGGATGACCTTCCACCACTGTAGGGCGGCCCCTTGCAACAATGTTAACGTGTGGTTGATCCGCTTCTGATCGTCTCTGATGCCCGCCGCGTTGAAATAGATATTCATGGCGAATATCCACTGCCGCACTGTCACGCCTTTATTAGCTGGGTCGAAAAGAGCGGGTGGCTGATATCTTACGCCGCCACTTGTCGAGCATCGGGCTGCTGCCGCTAGTCGTGCCAGTTCCACTGGCGACGGTTGCTGCTCACCCGCCTCGCTTCGTGCATCGTCGCCCAGCTCCTCTGGATGCCTCTCCTGCGCCTGGCGAAGTCGTTGGTTCTCGTCGCGGAGGTCGTTGACGACGCATGTCAAATTCTTCAACTGCTCCATTAATGTTTGCAGGTCCACCGTTTCCCGGGAAGGGTTTACAACAGTCGAGGTGGACTGTCCCTCAACCGTCGAGCCTACCGGGGCCATGGCGGTCAGGACTGGGCAGAAGCTAGCGCAGACGCCGTAGTTGTTGACGTAAAAATATTTACAATCCAAGAAAACCTTTTGTGCGGCCGTGCTAATCCCCTCTGACCACCCTTAACTAAGTAAACGGGAAAACGGAAGGTTCCTGAAAAGGTCGGGCTCTGATACCAGTTGTTATGATATAGGAAGTGTCAATGAAATATAACGTAAGAATACAAGGTCGCTATTGCAATAAAGGCACGAGGTTATATAGGGGTTAGCGTACTAGGGCGATAACCTCGAAACGTGGATAGGTTCGGCAATGTGGCGACAGTGCCGGACACGACTCAGGAAGAGGTTGGGCCGATAATTGAGGCCGAACGTGACGAGTCGAGAAGTTCGGGTGTACGCGCTAGTGTACGACTCAGTAAGGAATGGAAATTCATTACAGATGCGATCCCATAGTTCTCTTTATCAGACCGAAACATGGGAGAAGGGTGGAAACTCACGCTTTCTTAGGGCAAAGCTAGACTGCGTGTCAAGCAGGTGGTACAGCCCACCTGTACCGTGGAAGCAGATACTGCCCGGGTGTCAGTTGAGTTTGTAGCTGGCGCCAACATTTCCCGCTTTCTAAAACCGGTAAAACTCGCGTCTAGCAGTCAACTTCGTGAACTTCAACGTCGCATAAATTGACAGTCCAAAAGCCAGGAAACAAAGCGATCCAATTAGCATGCCCCACGACGTTTATTTCGACAAGCAAATTGTGGTCGTGCAGAGTGGCAGTCGCATGTTTTGCGCACGACCTTGCTAGTGCCACCGGGCGACACTTTCAGAGGTCCTGGCGTCAATGGTCGCGCAGTGGCCGTTAAGTCGACCTGTCCCACGGGTCAGCTCGACAAACCTGTACCAACTGCCTGATATGCGGTGTAACCACACCCTCAAATGAGTAGGTGGGATTATTTGCCTCTTGTCCCACCTTGCTAGTGTAGGCCAAAAGAAGAGGTACATTCACTTTTTTTTTTGCAATCATCGTAACCTTGCGCGATTTCGCACGAGCTCGCGAATGGTTCAGCGATCGGCAACTCAGAATTTGAAATTTCGAGTCCGCCTCACGAAACCTTGGTGGTACCGCTGCTGCTTCATCTGCCACTGCTTCTTGACATGCCTCATCGAAGCTCTCCCGCCGTTCCTCGCCACCTCCAGTTCTCGTTCTGTTATCAGGTGCCCATTAGCGGTCTTATTTCGCGATCATTCACTTCACAAGGCCCCCCGTGCGTTGTCACTCTGCATTTATGCCCTCGCATTGTGCTCGCACTTTCCGTCACCCAGTCCGCGGCAGCTTGAGCACTCATCTGAGTCTGCTCTAGTACTAGCTGCCTGCACGAACAGGCTCAGCGCCAATGAGTTTTTCCGACGTTCACTCGCTGCTTCGGCGGAGAGAAACGGGCTCGTCAGGAGGTACGGAAAACAGAAACAGGCTGTATGTCGTCCTGCATAATAACCCTTTTTGGCCTACTACGACTAGCAGTAGGGCTAGCGTCCTAGTTTCTCCCTACATGATCATCACTTGATAGCACGCTTCGGTTACGCTCTCCTGAATTCGTTCGTTTCGTCTCCGCGTCTGCAAATCCCCCCCTCCGCCCGCGTCATCCCAGGCGCTGCCCGAGCGGTCCACCAGCACCTCAAGCGCCGGACGCTAGCGGCGGCGCTCGCATCGCAGCGCGCGTGGCAGAGCCACTCGATCGCCATCCCGCTGGCGGTGGCGTTCTCCGAGGTGAGCCGGCCGCGCGGCTGCGATTCTCTGCGGCATTCCGCCTCACACGTGCGGCCGTGCAACCTCGTGCAATGGTGCATCAATCGTGCCGTTTCGTTTCAATTCCACCCGAGGAAACTCGTACTTTCCTAGCCCCGAGTCGACTGGTTACCACGTGACAGTCCGTACGAGGCATTGCATACCCCAATGTCTCGCCCACCCTCGCAGCGCCGGGACGAGGCTCATATAGCGGCGGTGGGCGACGAGCTCGGTTTCGTCAATGTCGTCAACTCGCTCCCGACGCTTTCCATGTGCGCGCAAGCTGATAGCGGGTCAGACCGTAGCGCGTACACGGGGCGGCCATCCACCACGTGGCATGCACACGATAACTCGGTGTTCGACGTGTGCTGGCTCAAGGTACGGTGAGAGTGAACGGTACGGGGGGGAGCATCCGACGTGCGCTGGGATGAATGGAAGGTCGTGGATAGTTCAAGGCACGGTGGCGATGCGACGATTGGAAGGTGAAGGAGGCTGTACCTCGGGACGCGTCGGGAATATCATGTCGTTCACCCTCCCGTGCCTCGCGACTTCCACTTGTTACCTTCCCCCTCGCTCTCCTTCCCGACTTCCGCTTAGGAGTAAACTTTTGCGGGTATGAATTTCGGATATGATCCTTCTTGCCTCGCGTCCCAGCTTCCATCTTCCAATTTCGTTCGATTCCCGTCGTCCATGCAAGGACGGCTGTCACCTCCGCGCGTGTTCCGCGATCGCACGGCGTCGTGCTGGCAGGTGGCGCCGTGCGATCGCGATCGCACCGAACGCATCTTTGCCCCTCTCCATTCTCTTTATTTAGGACGGCCGTCGCCTGGCTTGCGTGCTCCGGCCATCGCACGGCGTCGTGTTGGCAGGTGGCGCCGCGTTGGCAGGTAACGCCGTGCGATAGCACCTAACTCAACTTTCTCCTTCTCCCTTTTCTCTCTTCAGGATGGCCGTCGCCTGCTCGCGTGCTCCGGCGATCGCACGGCGTCGTGCTGGCAGGCGGCGCCGAGCGGGGCTGCGCGACTAGCCGTGCTGCGAGGCCACGGCGCCACCGTCAAATGCGCCGCTGCTCATCCTGACGACCCAGGCATGTGTCTCAGAAATAGCTGGCCATGTAGGGGGTGTCATTGGGGATGTAGGGGATGGATATCCACAGGGGTGAGAGTAGGCCATGTTGCACAAAATTGGCGATGGCTGGGGTTGAGTGCGATACGAGGGATTATTCGCGATATAGGATGAGTTTCCATTTTTTGAGATTTACGGGAGAATCACAACTCGTTACAAACCAGCTTCAGAACACAAATGTTGTTATGGGAAAAATAATACTCCCGTTTCCAGAAGGTTCAAGTTTCGTCCATTCCAAAGCTTACCTTCAAGTTCCGTCTCACAGTCGCCCATTTCTTAGTCTTAGGTCGGTCGGTCTGTAAATTTCCGTCCATCAGCAGTCGTCTCGTCGACCTCCGCGCATTGCGCCTCGCGGATCGTTACGAGCCTCCCGCCATAGCGTCAGTGCGTCGCGTTGCCTCCCTCCCCCCTCGCCAGACTCCGTCGCAACGGCGGGTCGAGACGGCGCCGTGCTCCTGTGGGACCTCCGCGCCTCCTCCCAGCCCACCGGGTGGGTACTTCCTCCTCGTCTCACTCTCCTGCCAACTCACACCCTGTTATTGTGCGTCATGCCTTCGTTGATTCTGCCAAGCCGCGCGAGATGCCGATCCTTCCGCCCTCCCACATCACCTTCCTTCATCCCTCACTCAGTTACCACCTGCCTACACTACCAAACGCTACGTTACTCCGAGCCATACACTTCGTAAAAAAAAAAATCCTGCCACTTGATGAATCTGTACTTCGCCCCCAGTTCCATTCTTTCCTCTCTTTTCATCCCTCTGTATTTCTCGTCCTCCCCTCTTCAATCGTTTCTCCCCTTCACCCCCATCACCTCCCCATCCCTCCCTCATGCCACCCTGCAGTGCCATAGTGCGTGCGCACCTCCCGCCCACCACTCCCCCCTCATGGCGTCACCCGCTGCTGCTCCCCACGGTATGCCTCGCCGTCCCCTCCTGCTAATGCTGCTTCTCCCACTCTCTCTCTCCCTTCCCCCCAACCCATCCCCCTAACTCCCCTCTCTCCCCTCACACTCTCTCTCCCCCTCCCTCGTCTTCCCTCCACTCCTACTCCTCTAACTTATCTCCACCCTCTTTCCCAATAAGCAGCATCAGCGCAAGCTCAAGCCCCTCCAGCAAAACCGCCTTTGAGTCGACTCAAAAGAAGCCCCTCCATCAAAACCGCCTTGGACTCAAAAGAAGCCCCTCGAGCAAAACCGCCTGGCTTCCGCCCTGTCTCGAGCTGCTCCGTCACTTGTGTGCTCGTCTCCCTTGCTTCCCCCCACCGTCTCTCCCCAAGCAGCGCAAGTCCAAGCCCCACCAACAGCCACCACTCCGCACGCCACGCATCCGCCCCGTGGTGGGGTGCTCCGTGACGTCCGTGCTCTTCTCCCTCGACGCCCGCATGCTCCTCAGCGCTGGCGCCTCTGACGGGTGGGTTGGGGGGCTGCTGGCCGGCCTCTGATGGGTGGGTCGGATAGGCTGGATGGGTTGGAACTTGGATGAGCAAAGGGTGAGGAGAGCAGGTCTCCATTGCAAACGAGGAATGATAAACTAGGAGAAGCAAGGCTGAGTGAGACGGCTGATTGGTAGAGAAGCAAGGAGTGGAAGAGGGTACGTGTTGCTTGTTTTACCACCTAGAGAATATGGAATCAGTCAGGAGACCCAGTCCCTTTCACTTGGTGCTGTGCTGTTCTTCACCGTGCAGCCGACAAATAACAACCGTGCACCAGAGTGCAACAGCTAGGCTGCGTCCAAAACGCTAAGCTACAGCTGGCCACATGCTTATGGATGTGTGCTCGAGATTGCTGGGTTCAGGCGGGGAGGCGAATACTAGGGTTTTACGACTCCCTCACGCGCCTCTGTTTAACTGTGCTGTCTGCCTGCCTGTGCGTGCATGAGCGCAGAGCCATCAAGTTTTGGGACATCCGGTCATTCAAAGCGCCTCTCATGGCCATGTGCCCCAGCAGCACCTCTGACTCGCCCACCTCCATGCCTGCTCCGAGCCAGGTGGGCGTTAGCTGTTAGTAGTAGCTGTTGGCTTCTGGGCTGAGACCGCCTCTCACGGCCATTTGCGCCACCAGCAGCCCTGGTTCGCCCACCCAAGTGGTTTCGCCACCATATTATGTGGGATGTGGTACTAAGCACCTTGGATACTAACGAGCGGAGAGAGCATAATACGCGAGGGAACTGCACGCTTTTATACATACGTAACTTAGGAGTCGTGCATATTGTATTAAATCGTGAAGCTCTTTTACCCTTCCTGACTGGTTTCCCCTCATCAATCTCCCTCCCTCCAACCCCCCTCCCTCCAACCCCCCTTCCCACCCTCACCAGCCGTGTCTCACGGGCGCCCCATCCCGAGTGCGCGGCATCACCAGCCTGTCTCAGGATGCCTTCGGCTCGCGCCTCACTGCCTCCTGCACCAACGGCAGGTGATGATGCTCATGGTGGCGGTGGTGGTGGTGATCTTGGTTGTGGGAAGGGTCATAGAACGCGATTAGAGCACATTGGAACTCGATATTAAATGTTGCAAATGGTGGTGGTGAAGAGGACAACGCTCACACCCTTTCTTTCTCCCATCCCTTCCAACCCCTCCCTGCCACCATGTGCTGTCTTTGCTGCGCTGCGCCGCGCCGCCCATCAGGGTGTACGTGGTGGACATGGGTGCGCCGCTGCCTCGTGTCTCCCACACGCTGCAAGGCGCTCAGATCGACTCCTTCTTTGTCAAAGTGAGGAGGGGTTGCCGCGTGACTGTGTGCGGAACTGCTTGTGTGCTTTGTGATTCTATGAAGCTGTAGTGCTATGCATGCCTACACATGTGAGAGCATGCATGACCAATCATGCATGGATACTACGATGCACACAAGTATACCTACCTAGTGCATCTATGCACGCACATGCACATGCACATGCACATGCACGTGTGCGCATATGAGTCAATGCACGGACTGACATACACACATTGGCATACACACATTGGCATACACAGCCCCTCACGCCCTTACCTGCTGGCTCATCCCTCCTCCCTGTCGCCCCCACCAGGCCGGCATCAGCAGCGATGGCACGCGTGTGGCATGTGGTGGCAGTGATGGCAGCATCAACGTGTGGCAGGTGATGCATGCATGTGTGGCAGGTGATGCATGCATGTGTGGCAGGTGATGCATGTGTGGCAGTTGATGCATGCATGTGTGGCAGGTGATGCATGCATGGCAGGTGATGCATGCATGGCAGGTGATGCATGCATGGCAGGTGATGCATGCATGCATGGCAGGTGATGCATGCATGGTGAAGGATGCACGGATTCGTGCATGGATTTTCTGTTCTTTATGTGCTTGCTTTATGTGCTTGCTTTATGTGCTTGCTTTATGTGCTTGCTATATGTGCTTGCTATATGTGCTTGCTTTATGTGCTTGCTTTATGTGCTTGCTTTATGTGCTTGCTTTATGTGCTTGCTTTATGTGCTTGCTTTATGTGCTTGCTTTATGTGCTTGCTTTATGTGCTTGCTTTATGTGCTTGCTTTATGTGCTTGCTTTATGTGCTTGCTTTATGTGCTTGCTTTATGTGCTTGCTTTATGTGCTTGCTTTATGTGCTTGCTTTATGTGCCTGCTTTATGTGCCTGCTTTATGTGCTTGCTTTATGTGCTTGCTTTATGTGCTTGCTTTATGTGCTTGCTTTATGTGCTTGCTTTATGTGCTTGCTTTCCCAGTGCCAGATGTCTATCCTTAAAGTTTTCCTGCTACTTCCTCTCCTCCCCATCCAGCTGTCGTCCAATGATACGATGCCATCTGTCACCTTCCAGGCGCACCAAGGGGAGGTCACAGCCCTGCGCTGGTAGGTGGCTGGTGGCAGATGGAGGGGGGTTGGGGATGGGGGTGATGAGGTTGGTTGGTGGGGGTGATGCAGAGGGTGGGTGGATGGGGGAGGAATGTGCATGGCTGCGACGATGTAGGGTGCAAGGTGTTTGGCTGCTACTGCTGATCATGGTGTACGTGCTTGCATGTGATGTTCTACATTTCAGCAGGCCTCTGTGCTTGTCACAGCTTTTCCCCCCACATCCCTGCTTCCTCTCCTAATCTTTCCAATTCTTTAGATCCTCCCAAATTTTCCATTCTTCCCAATCCTCCGCATCACCCCCCACCGTGCCTCAGGTCGCCAGTGGACGGGTCATCGCTGCTCTCCGCTGCTGATGATTCCACTGTGAGCCATGCGCCCCTCTTGCTGCTGTCCCTCATGCTGCTGTCCCTCATGCTGCTGTCCCTCATGCTGCTGTCCGTCATGCTGCTGTCCGTCATGCTGCTGTCACTCTGCTCACTCACTCTCGCCCAAGCGCCAAGCTGTGCTTCTGCAGCCTGTAGCTCACCCGTTGTTGCACCGTGTCCGTGCAGCACTCTGCTGCTTCCCGATTCTCAACTCCCACAAGGCTGCCTTACTTCCAATAGCTCCCCACACGTGCAGCTCCCCACACGTGCAGCTCCCCACACGTGCAGTTCCCCACACGTGCAGCTCCCCACACGTGCAGCTCCCCACACGTGCTCCCCACACGTGCAGCTCCCCACACGTGCAGATCCCCACACGTGCAGCTCCCCACACGTGCAGCTCCCCACACGTGCAGCTCCCCACGCGTGCAGCTCCCCACTCGTGCAGCTCCCCACGCGTGCAGCTCCCCATGCATGCAGTTCCCCACGCGTGCAGTTCCCCACACGTGTAGCTCCCCACACGTGCAGCTCCCCGCACGTGCAGCTCCCCGCACGTGCAGCTCCCCGCACGTGCAGCTCCCACACGTGCAGTTCCCCACACGTGCAGCTCCCCACACGTGCAGTTCTCCACACGTGCAGTTCCCCACACGTGCAGTTCCCCACACGTGCAGCCCCCCACACGTGCAGCTCCTTACACGTGCAGCCCCGCACATCCCTCATCATGCCTCCTTTTGCAACACTCAATCCCCTTCACACGCCACTCTACTGCCTCCTGTCCATCCCTCCTCCCCTCCCTCCCCTTTCCTCCCCTGCTCCCCTCCCTCCCTCTCACCAGGTCGCCCTACACACCCTCCACCCTCTGCCTCCCCCCTCCCCTCCCCGCTGCCACCCATTCTCGGCCTCTCACACCCTCTCTGGGAGAGCAAGTGCGGCCTGGCGTCCCCGCCTCCCTGTGTCTGCTGGCTCTCACGTGAGAGAGGCAGAGGCTGCGCCAGCAGCAACACCACCAACAGCAATCACGGCGCACCCAGTGACCCCAGCAGCAGCAGCAGCAGCAGCAGCAGCGTCAGCGGAGCTCCCGGTGAGTCCGGCAGCAGCAGAGTCGAGTGTGGATGTGCCAGCAGCATCAGATGGAAGACCAGCAGAGTCACGAGCAGCACCAGCCGCAGCAGCTGCTGCAGCAGCAGCGGAAGTGGCAGCGGCAGTGGCATCAGGCATCCGCAAGAGGCCCCGGGAAGACCACTGCACTGCCACCGCGGCTGCTGGCAATTGCAATGCATGCAACGGTGAGGCGGCTGCCACCGTGCCACCTGGAGAAGCAGTAGCGGAAGCAGCAGCGGCGCTGGCAGAGGGGGCAGAGGCACCTGGGGCAGCAAAGGCGCCATTCAGAGCAACAGTCAAGCCCAATCAGACAGCTGTCACGATGTCAGAAGCACAGGAGGCACCACCACCTGCAGGTAGTAGTGCTGATATGGAGGCAGGTCAAGCCGACATGGCCATGCAGGACAGTGCAGGCCGTGCAGATATGGATGTGGGCGCCTCGTGCCCTTCAGATCAAGACACGCAGCCACCGGAAGGCGGTTTGCCGGCCAAATCGGTGGCAGGGTGCAAGTGGGGCTTGGCCCCGTGCACTGTGCCTGGGGGGAAGTCGAACAAAGCGATGGCTTCCACGTGTCAAAATCGGCAGTTGACACCGATGCAATGTAGTGGATGAGACTGGTGATTGGTTGTATAAGAGCTTGAGTCTTCCAATGAAAGCATGGAAAATGGTAAACGTCATCGCCTCTTGGAGCAAGCGTCGAATTCTTTTGCCACCCTTGATCCAAAATAAGTCGCCAAGCTTTGTAGGCATTTTTTTGCGGGTGGAAGTTAGATCTGACTGACTGATCGTGAGGTTCACTGTTACGAGGATGTAGCCAGCTCGGCAGCACAGGGCAGCACGGAGCAGGAGGTTGTGTGGATGGATGGACCAAGGGCGATCAGCAGTCAATGCGGGGGCTGCAACAAGGAACAAATCCAGCAGCCATGGCTTCTGGCCACACTCACCATTTGAACGGGCGTTCAGTAGATAGTCGTAGCGAGCCACGTCCCGTTCGGCTAGTAGTCGCTGTGCCGCCTTTTTCTCTGGTCTCGCCTTAATTCCCTTCAGCCTTCAATTGTTACAGCTTGAATTCTCGTCGCCTGCGATGGCTGCGACGTTTCTGAGTCGCCTGCCGAACGTCGTTCACATTCAGGAGCGACTGCTTCGCCTGTGGTACATGCGACACGGCCTGCGACTGCTCGACGTGCAGGTGGACGACGAAACCAGCGTTGCATGCTGGGCCCCGCGACACTACGCCGACTCCCTCGCCCGATCGCAGTCGTTGAAGCGGAATGCGGCAGGGCCGAGAAATCCAGATCCCGACTATCGGCGCGCATCGTCAGCTGGTCGTCCGAAGCAGCCGCTGCTAATGCTGCATGGCTTTGGCGCGTCGGCCATCTGGCAGTGGACCAATCAGGTCGCGGCATTCTCGCGCGACTTCGACGTCTTGCTTCCCGACCTGATATTCTTCGGCGGGTCGAGCAGCCGCAGCGATCAACGGTCGGAATTCTTTCAGGCGGGCGCCATGCTGCGCCTGCTGGACCGCCTTGGGATCTCCGAGTGCTCGCTTGTGGGGCTCAGCTACGGCGGCTTCGTCGCCTACAGGTGGGCTTCCAATCCCCTGCCCTGACGCCTTGCCCGCAACGCCTAGAGGTGGGTGGGTGCCCCTCGCGCCCTACAGGTAGATGCCTCGTGGCTGGGTGCCTCGTGGCATGGTGCCTCGTGGCTGGGTGCCTCGTGGCTGGGTGCTTCGTGGCTGGTGCCTCGTGGCTGGGTGCCTCGTGGCATGGTGCCTCGTGGCTGGGTGCCTCGTGGCTGGGTGCCTCGTGGCTGGGTGCCTCGTGGCTGGGTGCCTCGTGGCTGGGTGCCTCGTGGCTGGGTGCCTCGTGGCTGGGTGCCTCGTGGCTGGGTGCCTCGTGGCTGGGTGCCTCGTGGCTGGGTGCCTCGTGGCTGGGTGCCTCGTGGCTGGGTGCCTCGTGGCTGGGTGCCTCGTGGCTGGGTGCCTCGTGGCTGGGTGCCTCGTGGCTTTCAGGTGGGCTTCCCCCCTCAGGCGCCTGCCTCCTCCTATCACCTTCCCCATCCCCTGGCCTTCCTTTTCCCCCCTCTTTTCCCTCCTGGCTACTCAGTCAGAATGGCGTGCCTGCGAACAGCCATTCCACTTTCCATCATGCAAGAAGCAAATGCTCCTCCCTCTTCCCCCCTCCCCCCACCTGCCCCCCTCCCCCCCTCGTTTCTCCCCAGAATGGCGTGCCTGGAGCCGGGCAGGGTGCAGCGCCTGGTGCTAGCGGCGTCAGGGCTGATGACGTCAGCAGAGGAGCACGCAGCGGTGCTGCGGGAGTGGCAGGTGGCGCACATCGCGGAGCTGCTGCTGCCCGACCACCCCGCTGGTGTGCAGCGCCTCATGTCCCTCGCCTACGCCCAAGACGCGCCCTCGCTGCCCGCCTGGGTGCTGCGGTCCACTTTTGAGGTGAGGAGACTGGTGTATGTAGGTAGGAAGGGGTGGTGGGTGGTGTGGGTGGTATCAGCGAGTGAGGGTTGAAACGAGCACGTGGGGGAGGGTGGGAGGGGGCGATGCTGCAGGAACACGGTGAGAGGAAGTCAGCCGAGGGAAGTGGGGCCTTCGAACAATCAACTCGTCTCCATCTCCCCTTGCACCTGCTTCCCCTTGCGCCCATCACCCCTTGCACCTGCTTCCCCTTGCGCCCATCACCCCTTGCACCTGCTTCCCCTTGCGCCCATCACCCCTTGCACCTGCTTCCCCTTGCGCCCATCACCCCTTGCACCTGCTTCCCCTTGCGTCCCTCACCCCTTGTTGACCTGCTTCTTCTGTTTCCCCCCACCATGTCCCTGGCTCCTCTCGCCCTGTCCGCGTTATTGCAGGCGCTGTTTGACAACCAGGAGGAGAAGCGCGACATGCTGGACGAGGTGCTCAAGTACCTCGCTCAAACGGGCCTGAATGAAACCGGCTTGGATGAGACAGACTTGCCGGCAGCAAGCGTGGATGGAGGGGGTTTGGATGGCCAGCGGCCTGCTGGGGATGGCAAACACGAGCAGAGTGGCATGCCCCCGCTGCAGGAGCTCAATCCATACAACATCCCTGTACCTGAAATGGTGAGTGCAGTTTGCTTAGTACCACATTTCCATGGCATTTTGGGGTCATGGGTGAATCACATTTTAAAACCTGAAATGGTGGGTGCAGTCCCTCGACCTGAAATGGTGGGTGGTTTATGACACAGCAGAGTGCAGATGTTACTGCGCAGCGCAGATGACAACTCAACAGCCCTGCCTCACTATGCATCACAGGCTGTATGCATCACAGGCTGTATGCATCACAGGCTGTGTGCATCACAGGCGCATGCTCGCTCTCTTCACGCCTCCTCCCCATTCCTCCCTTCCGATTCCATCATCTCTCACCACACCACTGTCCGTCGCGCTCCGCCCACCTTCCTCTTGACTCCACTCCACACCACACCGCACCATGCCATGGTGTGCAGGAGACTCTTCTGGTGTGGGGCAGCTGCGACGCCATCTTCCCTCTGTCGGTGGCCCACCGCATGCACAGGTGAGGGAGATGCATCGTGCATGGGGGGGAGGGAGGGAAGGGGGATACATAGTGCATGGGGGGATTAATGGTGCATGGGGGTATATATGCTGCATGGGGGTATAGATGCTGCATGGGGGTATATATGCTGCATGGGGGTATAGATGCTGCATGGGGGAATATATGCTGCATGGGGGTACATATGGTGCATGGGAGGACACATGGTGGATGGGAGGACACATGGTGCATGGGAGGACACATGGTGCATGGGAGGATACATGGTGGATGGGAGGACAAGAAATGCCAACTTCCCTCTGGTTGTTGCACTCCGCATGCTCAGGTGAGGCACGGGGGACAATGGCTCATGCGTATGCTCCCACATACACCACATGCGTAGGTTCTTCAGCCAAGCACGGGTGGGCGTAGGGGGCACGTGATGCCATGCGCATGCTTCCGTTGTGTGCAGCTGTGAGGCACGCGGAACGACATGGGAAGTTAGAGGGGCGTGCGGAGTGAGCAAGCCTCACAAGCTGTGTACAAAACTTTAGGAAAACACAGAGCTTGCCATGTGCGATAAACGCATCCACTACTTGTCCATAACTGGTTCCAACACCATCCTTCAACTCTTCCCCTGCCCTATTCCCTCATCCTGCTCGTCTGCAGTCACTTTGGGCCCGTGTCGTCATTGGCGGTGCTAGAGGGAGCGACCCACGCACTCAACATCCACCGACCAAAGCCGTTCAACGATGCTGTCATGAGCTTCCTTCGTGATGGGAACAATGCTGAGGTGGATTCAAATTCATGAATGCTGCTAGTTGGAAGGAACACCATGCTCTGCTTGTTCTGAGTTGGAAGGAACACGCCCAATGCAGCCAGGCTGCAAGGTTGATGATACAATGGTTTGGACACTAATCTTAGCGGAACACACAAGTCAAGCGACTGGAGAAAGTGGGAAACCAGGTAACCAGGTAACACATGGTTCCCAATGGTGTTTCCGATGTTGTGATATAATTGATACTTAGCATTTCTGTAAGTCGATTAAGTGTAGTTGTGTCGCATCCTACTGTAGAAGATAAGTCCGTAGGATGACGTCAGCAAATAGCGCTGGTCATAGGACAGTCGTTTCAGTCACGCGAACAGTCGCACCTCTTCATTAACATCTAGGGCGCATAACGCGATAGTGACGAACAGATACATTAGCGAATAGGTACTTTTCGTAGAACTATAAATCTCTGTTTGGTCTTTTCATTATTAACTTTGATTACCCACAAGTTCAAGTACTCAAGTTATTCAACCTTGACCTTTATATTTTACAAGACTTCCGCTGTCTTACTAGTCTACCATTCCAGCAAAGATCCTGGACCAATACTTGAGGATTTGCCAAGTATTCTTGTTTATAGTTTTATACTTAGTCTATTACAACACCAGACGATTTAGTTCATGGTATGAGAGCTATCTGGAATTAAGACTACCGTCAACTATGACTGGTCCAACACCAGCACCATCTGCTGGATTAGTTACCGGTGTTCAAATTATATAAGTTATAATTTAATATAGGCTTGGTAGGTTGTTACTGAACCTTTCTGTAGGGGGTACAAACCCCTCCTTGTACACCCCTCTCTTCTAAACCAACCCTCTTTTCTCTCCTCAACTTTCCTAGCACCTAAAACCTCTCGCCATTCTCATGGCTCCTCCTAGCTCCTAGCTAAACCTTGTGCCATTCTATGGCTTCCTAGCTAAGCTAGTCTTTTTACATGGTATTAGAGCAGTTCGTTCCGTGTGGGCCTGCTCCTCGCGTTTCCGCTGCGTGCTCGTTTCTCTCTCTATCTCGCGCTGCCATGGCGGCCGCGTCAAGCTGCTGTGGCCGCGTCGTCGTGCCGCGGCGCCGCCGTCGACGTCCATGGCGCCCGCGTCCAGCTGCTGTGGCCGCGCCGTCGTGCCGCAGCTCCGCCGTCGCGTCAAGATGCTGTCGCGACGTGACGGCGCCGTCACGCTGCCGCGGCGTCTACGCGACAGCGCGCGGTCGGCGTAACGGCGACGTCGTGCTGCCGTCGCAACGTCGACGCCCCGCTGCGGCATCGACGCCGCTCCATGACGGCGTCGTCGGGCTGCAGCCGGCCGCGTGACGCTTGTGGCGCCGCTAGACCGGCCGCCCGCATGTCAGCCTGTGGCGCCCCCCCCCCCCCCCCCCCCCCCACCCCCCTCCTTCCCCTGTGCCCTCTTCCATTCCGCAGACGACGGCTGACTCCCGCCGGCCGTCCCACCGTCGCGGGGCCTGGCCACGTCACCGAGAGGTGCGGGTGCCGCCGCCGCTGCCGCTGTTGTCGAAGCCGCCGCCGCCGCCGCTGTCGCCGCTTGCGTCGGGGCCACGCAGCCGCACGCCGCCGCCGCCGCCGCCGCCGCTGTCGACACTGCCGCCGCTGCTGCCGTCGCCGCCGCAGCCCCTGCGGTCGACGTCGCCGCCTCACGCACCGTGGGTCGACCGACCTAGAGTCGCTGTCACTGTGGCTGGAATGGGGGTGCTAGGTTAGGGGGTGTGGGTGTGTGTGGGCATGTGACTACCAAGCCTAGGGGGTGTGTTCAAATTATATAAGCTATAATTTAATATAGGCTTGGTAGGTTGTTACTGAACCTTTCTGTAGGGGGTACAAACCCCTCCTTGTACTCCCCTCTCTTCTAATCCAACCCTCTTTTCTCCCCTCAACTTTCCTAGCACCTAAAACCTCTCGCCATTCTCATGGCTCCTCCTAGCTCCTAGCTAAACCTTGTGCCATTCTATGGCTTCCTAGCTAAGCTAGTCTTTTTACAACCGGGACCACTGGAGCACATGCCTCCACTACCGCCGCTGGTCTCTCAGCCTCTGGGCACTTTCCACCAGCCTATGCTAGTATCGGTATGCAGAATCCGCCTTCTGTGAATACTCCAGGTGCTCCATCGACTGCACCTGCAACGCAGCAGCAATAGTCACAGACAACAGTGTCAAACATGTGTATTTGTTATGTTTGCATAGACTGTATAGGGTCATCTCTTAGAGGGTACAATATTTAGGTATATCTATCTGTACTCTCCCTCTATCTTACTCATTCACTTCTCTCAGCTTGATATGGTATCATGCGTAGGTTAGGATCCCCCCACCTACCGCTTCCGCTCGTCCCCTAGCTAGGCCCCGCCGTGCCTCCCCCCTAGCCCCGTCGCGACCCCCTGGGCCCCGTCGTGCCCCTAGCCCTGCCGCGCCTCTCCTGGGCCCCGTCGCGACCCCCTAGCCCCCGTCGCGACCCCCTGGGCCCCGTCGCGACCCCCTGGGCCCCGTCGCGACCTCCTAGCCCCGTTGCGACCCTCCCGGGCCTTGCTGCGCCCCTCGCCCCGTAGTGCCCCTCCTGGGCCCCTCCTGGGCTCCGTAGTGCCCCTCCTGGGCCTCGTCGCGCCCCTTCTGGGCCCCTCCTGGGCCCCGTAGTGCCCCTCCTAGGACTCGTAGCGCCCCTCCTGGGCCCCGTAGCGCCCCTTCTGGGTCCCGTCGCACCCCGCCTCGGCCCCTCCTAGGCCCCGTAGTGCCCCTCCAGGGCCGCGTCACGCCCCTCCTGGCCCCGTAGCGCCCCTCCTGGGCCCCGTCGCGCCCCTCCTGGGCCCCTCCTGGGCTCCGTAGCGCCCCTCCTGGGCCCCGTCGCGCCCCTCCTGGGCCCCTCCTGGGCCCCGTAGTGCCCCTCCTGGGCCCCGTAGTGCCCCTCCTGGGCCCCGTAGCGCCCCTCCTGGGCCCCGTCGCGCCTCGCCTCGGCTCCTCCTGGGCCCCGTAGCGCCCCTCCTGGGCCCTGTAGCGCCCCGCCTCGGCCCCTCCTGGGCCCCGTAGCGCCCCTCCTGGGCCCCGTCCAGCCTTCAGGCCCCGTCGCGCCCTGCCCGGCCCCGTCGCACCTGCCCGGCCCCGTCTCACCTGCCCGGCCCCGTCACGCCCGCCCGGCCCCGTCGCACACGCCCCCGGCCCCGTCGCACCTGCCCGGCCCCGTCGTACCGGCCCGGCCCCGTCGCACCTGCCCGGCCCCGTCGCGCCCGCCCGGCCCCGTCGCACCCGCCCCGGCCCCGTCGCACCTGCCCGGCCCCGCCGTACTGGCCCGGCCCCGTCGCACGTGCCCGGCCCCGTCGCGCCCGCCCGGCCCCGTCGCACCCGCCCGGCCCCGTCGCACCGGCCCGGCCCCGTTGCACCTGCCCGGCCCCGTCGCCCCGGCCCGGCCCCGTCGCGCTTGCCCGGCCCCGTCGCACCCGCCCGGCCCCGTCGCACCCGCCCGGCCCCGTCGCACCCGCCCGGCCCCGTCGCACTGGCCCGGCCCCGTCGCACCGGCCCGGCCCCGTCGCACCCGCCCGGCCCCGTTGCGCCCTGCCCGGCCCCTGCGCTCATCCCTGCCCCGGCCCCTTCCTCCTCACTGGTACGCCCCCCCCCCTGTCCCTGCACTGCCCTGCACCGCACTGCACAGCCCTGCACCGCACTGCACAGCCCTGCACCGCCCCGCACCGCCCTGCACTGCCCTGCCCCGCACTGCACCGCCCTGCACTGCTCTTCTTTGCACTGCACTTCACTGCACCGTACTGTCCCGTCCTGCCCTGCCCCTGATGGCGGCGGAGCTTCGGTTCGACGCTGAAGGCCAGCCTCTGGAGTTCGAGGCGTGGCTTGCCGACCTCCGGCGCCAACTCACTGGCCAGCGGCAGGATGGTGAACCGCTTTCCGCACACCTTGACGGTACGCTCCCCTGCCTTGACCCCCCTGCTATTCTGCCCACTGACTCCACACCCACTGAGCGCGAGTCTACTGCTGCCACTGCCCGTGCGCGCTCTGTGTGGCTTTCTCGCGATGCTGTCGCCCAGCTTGCCATTAGCAACGCCCTTCCCCCGTCCGAGCGCCCTCGCTTTAGGTCCCTCACTACTGCTCAGGCATACTTAGATGCTGTGATCCAGCGCTATTCCACCCCTCCGGCTGCCTCGGTGGGTCGCCTGATCCTCCCGATGCTCTTTCCTGACCTTGCGTCTTTCCCCACTGTCTCTGACCTCGCCGCCCACCTGCGCTCGATAGATGACACCTGGCGCGCTGCCTGCACTGACGCACAGCTTAGAGCCCACCAGCCGCCCATTACCTCTACCCTTTACCTGCTTGCCACCCGCCTCCCTGACCGCCTTGCTGTCGCCCGCGACCGCTTCCTTAGCATTCACCCCGCAGACCTCACCCTCACTGACTTTGTCGACACCCTGACTGTGATTGAGACCCGCCACCGCTCCATCGCCCAGGCGAGCGGTACCGTGCCGGTCCCTATCTTTTAGGGTTGTGCCCCCGCTCAGTGTACCTTCTCCGACGGCTCTGTCGCTGTGGCTGAGACTGCTGCTGCAGCGCAGTTTCGTTCGGGGAAGGGCCGCCGCCCCAAGGTTGGGCGCGGCGGAGGAGGCGGGGGTGCTGGAGGGGGTGGTGGTGGAGTCGGGTCGTCTGGTGCTGGAGCGGACGAGGGTACCCTGCCCAGTCCAGCTGAGCCGCTGCCCCTGCAGTCGCAGCAGCAGCAGCCGCAGCAGCCGCCGCAATCGCAGCAGCCACCGCCTTCGCAGCAGCCGCAGCAGCCGCGCAGCCGAGGCAGACGAGTGTCCTCCCGCCCGGGTGGCCCGGCGCTGGCGGTGGTCGGGCGCGTGGTGGTGTACCGAGTGGTGATTCCGGGGGCGTGCGTTGTCAGTACCAGATCCAGACCGGTCCTCGCCGCGGCTTCGTTTGCGGTAAGATCGGTCATTCCACTCCCCGCTGTTTTCGTCGCCTGGAAGACCAGTTCCGTCAGCGCTTCGGCCCGTCGCCAGACCTCCCTGACTGGCACAGCATGCTTAGACGTAGTATTCTGATTTTTGACATGGACATGGATGCCATTGTTGCTGCTCTGCATGTGATGTATGCTGATGACTCTAGTGTGCTTCCCGCTTATTACTCACTGTCATCTAGTGTAGGCATGCCTAGCTTAGCCTCCCCTGCTGCGTCAGGCGTAGGATCCCCTGCTTTGTTTAGTCTTGGT